CTGCAGAGCGGCGGGCCCAGCGACTGGGGACTATATATACCCAGGCACACGTGTGTGCCTGTCTGTGTGTGTGCGCGCGCATGTGACAAGGCGCGGACGGCTCCTCGCTGCTACCTCCCCCACGTGCACGACCGCCTCCTGGGGCCCGGGATTGGGCGCCCCTTCCCACTGCTCTTGTCCCCCAAGCCTGATGGGACCTGCACGAGTGGGCAGGGGATTTCTTATTCTTGCCAAGCTGACAGCGCCTGCACCCCCGCCCCCATTTCTTCAACCTTCCCGCCGTTTTAACCCTTCATTCTCCTGCTTGTCAGGGTGCCTGACCAGCAGCGTTCTGCCCCTGACTTCCTGCCTCGGACTTCGTTTTCTCCGACAGGGAGGTGATGGGAATGGAACTCAAGGTCTCCGCCTGCCACTCTCTGCTGGTTTCCATGGGGTTGGGGTGCAGGAGGGGCTGGCCCACGGCTGGGGGGGTTATTTTTAGCGGCAGTGGCGTTCGGCGCAGAGAGGAGATGAGTAACCAGCTTCCACGCGGTGGAGGGAGGAGGCGGTGGCTTTCACGCAGCCTTTGTGCGACTCTGGGGGAGAGCTGCCTCCAAGCTCAAAAAGGGTCACCCCCCCCCCAATACACACACCCTTAACTCCTTACCCTCTCAGTGCTGTGCTCAGGGCTGCTGGTGCAGCAGGACAGGAGTCTGTCTTAGCCATCGAAGCTGCCCACACACTCTCATTCTAAGATGTTTGTCCTTGGGCACCCGTGGAGCCCTCTCCCTGAGGCAGGCTCTCTCCCCGAGTCCAGAAGCCTGGATTTGGGGGGTCATAATGTTCTCAGCCTGAGCTCTACTCAGCTTTATGGAGGACAGACTAGGGTACATACCCACTTGCACCCTCTCAGAGGGTATAGAGGAGGAATGGTGTGCTCCCTTGGCAAAACTAATCCCCTAGCAACTGAAATGATAAAAGTGGCCCCTATTTCCCAGCGTAGATCTCTCCATCACCACTACAGTGCCTGGCTGACTCAACCCCCACCTGAAGTGGTGCTCAAGACCATCACCTTTTAGGCTCATTCTGCCCCCGGGGGGTTGTTGCTTACATCTACATGATCCCTCCCCCCAAGCCTATACCAGGTGTCCCCTGATTCACCATGGTAATGTTAGTGGCAGCACAGCCCACGCCAACCCTTCCATGCAGAGACTTAGCAACCATGCCTGGCAACCATGGCAGCAGTTCCAGTGGAGAGGAGGGGTGCGGGGAGGTGGGAGAAAAGAGTGTGTATGGCAATGGTTCCTGAAGAAGGGATAATTCACCTCTCCTGAGAGGAACAGGTAAGAATAGAAGGCTTTGAGGCTCCCAAATTTTGTCCCTTGCCTTTCTTTCTGCTCCATCCTCAGACTCTGAGACTGACTGGTTGGGTTTTTAGGGGGCAACGGGAGACGCAGATCCCAACTTTTTTTCCACCAAAGTATATGCAGCCCTTAGGCACAGACCCTTCCTTTTAAGGTGATGAGCCAGGAGGGTTGTTTTAGGACAGAGACTGACTTACTGAGAACCAGAGAAACAAAACCCAGGCCTCCTGCTCCCTAACATGGACCTTTAGAGAGAACCCAAACATCCCCTATCCCATCCAGTCGACCCCACCTGACACCTACCAGGTGCACCGATGTCTCTTTGCCTGAAGGTGCTTCCTTCCACCCAGGTCCCAACAGAGCCCTAAGGCTTTAAAAGTCCTTGCCTCCTCCCTAGACATGATGGAATGTGACATAAGGAGACATCTGTCCTTTCCATCATTCACCCACCCCCACACAAACATACCCTAATTCTAATAACTTGGAAGCCTCCCTCCCTCAAGTCTGGGAATGTGCTATGAGAGCTGTGAAGGAATGAATGCAGAAGCAGGGGCTTCTCCAAAGCCATGACGCAGCACTGAAAGCTGACCTCTGACCAGTGCCCTGATGCTTCTCTGTGTTCCATCAAGAAGCCTGGTTTGGAGGAAGCAGTATGGTATGGCTATATGTTCATCCGAGTTCTTAGGCACAGTGTGGGTAGGGATACACACAGGAGTTACTCTGAAGTTCTTTCAAATCTTGGATAGGAAATGGTTATCATACCTGTAAGGCAGTGGTGAGACGGTACCCAGAATTTGGTTCATAGCCAACAATCTACCAGTCCTTACGGTGCTCGGTGCTGACTACTGTTTTGGTCCACATGGTTTCAGCACAGGGAAAGGGTCTGATGGGGTGACCGTAATCCTGCTGCTCCCCACCCCCCACTCTCCAGCTCATATCTACCTTGGAAGAAAGGGATTTGTGAGTTCAAAGACAGCGCTAGCTCAGCAAAATCCAAAGAGTCCCACCTTCTCTAAGAAAAGTTGATAGTGGCAGGTCTCTCTGCCTACCTAAAGGAGATCCTCAGTCTGTTATGGGATTTTCCTTGGGTGCCAGCTATGGTCCAGGCAGAGGAGAAAGTGAGGTGGTAAGGAGACTGCAGGGAATAGTTATGAACAGAGAATTAGAAAGGCAGTAAACCTAGTGTAGTGGTGAAGTGCATGAGCTCTAAAGCAAGACTATTTCGGCTCAAATCCTAGCTCTACTTTTTATTAACGGTGTGGCCCTAGGCTAGTTACTTAGCCTCTCTGTGCCTCAGTTAAAAGAAAAAAAAATCCGTAAAACTGAAATATTATCTACTATTGTTCTGAGGATTAGTTGAAGTAATATATGTAAAGCACTGAGAATGGTGCCTGGCACACAGCTTTATACATATATGTGTGTGTGCCATTACTGTTGTTATTAATGATGAGCTGAAGCAGCCATATGAAGTAGGAAGGCTGTAGTAGTGGTGTCTATCAACTACAAAAATCAAACACTGAAATACCATGAGGAGGCTCCTGTCATTTTAATTAGGTTTGCCACAAAAAGCAATAACCTCAGCTAACCACTCTGCCCTCCCCCTCCGCCTGAGTCTCATCTCCCTTCATATGCATACAGCACAGGAACCCAAAGGCCCTCCTCCCCATGATCCTCCCCACTCCCATTATGGGAAGAAATGCCATTAAATGGACTCAGCCTCCTCCATACAGCATGAAATAGGATGAATAAAAATATCTTTATGAAGAGTTTTGTTGTGTCCATTATCTTAGGGTGGAGTCAGATACAGAGATAGAGGCATAGGCTGGGTGAGGTCTGGGGATCTCTCAGAGATCAGAATTTGCCTGAGAAGCACAGAAAGGGGGCTATGTCTAATTGGGTAGGGACCAGGCTGAAAGTTTTCCTCAAGGGTGAGGATAAGGACAGCTAAAAATCCATTCTCCTTCCTCCCCCACACCTTCCCTCACTCCCATGTAGAAGGGTAGGGGGCTCCCGGGCAGGGAACAGAGTCACAATTCTCTAAAGTTCTTGTCTCTGGTTCCCAGAGCTTTGGGCAGGCAGTGAGTGGGGCATAACCCCTGGTGCTGCATGACCCCTTCCCCCGGCTCAGGGCTTCTCTCCGCCTGTGAGCACCAGGGCCTGCAAGATGTCAGACAGTGATACAATTCCCTTGACCACATCATTCTCATCCACCACTACAAGTCGGTGAACCTGCACAGAGCAATAAGGAAGGGAGAAAGGGATGTTTAGTGCCAGCCTCAGTTAAGGTGAGCCCTTCAGCCCCTACCCTCCATGCCAAACCAAAGCCGCTACCCCCAGCACCTTTTGGGTTGCTGGCTCCCCTACCTCTGCTTCTACCAGCCTGTTGATGATAGTTTCCAGAGTCTCATGCAGGTAGCACTTGAGGACACCCTCAAAGTGATGCGATCGATGTTGCAGGGCTTTGGTCACTGACACATCTAGGTTGTTGTAGGTCTTTTCTGCTGCCAGATTCTGGGGAGAGAGAGAAACATTCATGCAGGGAAGCAAGGGAGCCGGCCCGCAAACTCCGAGCCCACCCAACCTCACCAGAGTGATTTAGGGTAGCTGTCAGCCATGCCCACAAGCCATACCCAGCTCATTCAATTCCTTTTCGAATAGGATTTGAAAGCTTGGAAGCTTCTAAAACCCTCAGGTCCCAGAAGAGACTCTCTTCTTCTCCCTCTCCACATCCAACACCCCACCCCTTTCCCTGCCTCCCAGCACCTCCACAATCACTCACGATAACATCAAACTTGGAGTAGATGTCCACCACACGCCCTAGGGGGACAGAGGCAGCTCAGCAAGGAGGATCTGGCATCCAAGGCTCCCCCTGCCTACAGAATCACCCTCCGGGCTGAGCTGAGGGGACAGCAGATTTTCCCACAGCCTCCCTGGCTTCCCTGGAGCCCTCCCTCTCCTTTTGCCCAATCTCTCACCTTTCTCATCCACCACTGGCAGGGCTGAGACTCGGTGCTGTACGAAGATGCCCAGAGCCACGTAGACAGGGGTAGTAGTGCGGACCATAGCAATGTTAGCATAGGTGCCAATCTGTAGCTCTTCCAGAGACTTAGACATGAACTCTGGCTTGGGGAACTCAGTGATCTGAGGAAATAACCATCATCTTGATTTTTTTCAAGGCCCCTCAAACCACCTTTGGGTACCCCTCCGACAAGTAGGTAAGAAGTAAAAACTGGGCTGAGGAGCACTTACAAACAACTTGAGGAATTTGAGGATGCGCTTGTGGGTAAGGATGTACAAGGTGTTGCCTGATTCCGGGTCAATAACTGGCAGCCTGTGGATCTTGTTTCGAATTAATGAAGAGACAGCATCAAACAAGCTGTGGGAAGGTAGGGGATAACGATAAGTTCCACAGCGCTGGGCCTGAGGGTGGTTAAACAGCTCCTTAGAGTTTGTTTATAAACAGGTGGTTGGGGGAGAGGAGCAGTGTTCAGACTAGACCTAAATATGTGTGTGTGTGTGTGTGTGTGTTAGCTATGATGATGGCAAGGCTCTTTCCCCTCTGGACAAATGGTTAGCTGGAACTCACCTGGCATTAGGAGAAATGCAGACAAGTGGTTTAAAGGAGTCCT